GCACCACGAAGCTGGCAGGGAGGGCTGCTCTGGTCGAGGGGCCACCTCGCCGCGGGCCTAGCCCCTGCGCAGCTAGCACTGGCCTGGCAGCCCGGCACGGCTGGCAGCACAAAGCAGCAAACCCCGGCAGGGCCGTGCGGCAGGCGGCAGCCGGGCTCTGGTGTGTCTGCAGCTCGGTCCTCCCGGGTCGCAGGGGGAGGGGGCAGGCGCCGAGTGCCAGAGAAGCCAGAGCTTCCTGTGGGGGGCACGGCGTGAGGCCGGAGCTGGGGGAGAGCGGCGGACCCAGGGCAGGGGCTCCGGCATGCGGGGGCACCCGGGTGGGGAGTGAGCAGCAGGCTGGCGCCGGGGCCGGCGGGGAAGGGGCATGAGGAACTGGCTTGACCACGTGCTGTGGGTTTAGGGGAGGGGGCCGGCAAGGCTGCGGGTCTGTCTGGATCCGAGCCCAGGCTCCATCCTGGTCACGTTCCTTCTCCGCGGCGCTGACAGGGGCTCGGACCTGGGCAAAGGGCCCTGGAGAGACGGACGGATGTGCGGGGAGAGGAGGGGGTGCGGGTGGGGGCTGCTCCAGCAGGACAAGGACACGGACAGAAAAGCTGCGTCCCGGCCCTGTCACCAGGAGCAGCCAGGAAGGTGATGGAGGCGAGACAGGTGTGCGCAGGGGGCACGCAGGGGGCACAGCAGCGAGTGCACATGCATGTGGGACATGGGGCTCACAGGCGTGTGCATGTTCATAGCATGCGGCAGCGTGGGGCTGACAGCGGGGATGTTCTCTGAGGATTGGGGGAACATCCCTGCTCCCCCGTTCCTAATTCCCACCTCCCTGGGCCTCCCCACATCTTGTAGCCTGGGGGTTGTCCCAGGGCACTGCCTGGGTGAAGGGCACTGGGATTTCCACGAGGGCAGCCCCTGGGGACTGCCGGGCACGGAGGGGGCCGCCCAGCTCTCACGCTCCACAGCCACAATCTGTCACGGAGGCGTGGGGGGCATCGGGCTGGGGCCAGTTGCCCACGTCCAGTCTGGGGCTCAGGCTGCGCCAGGACAGATCCCCACAGAGACAGCCAGGCCGGGGCCTCCGGGGGCCCCTTGCTGTGTCCTGGCCTTGCACCCCCAGCCCAAACATGTCCAGCCCCCGGGGCCTCGCATTGGACGTCTCCTCTCCATGCCGGGCACCGGGTAGGGAGGGCAGCGGTGGGGGCCGCTCCGGGATCGGCCCACTGGGTGCGGGGTCAGGGCTCTGGACCTTCCCCCTGCGCCAGGACCTGGCAAGCCTCCGTCCTTGGGGCCGGGGCACCGGTGCCAGGCTGCCTGGGGGTGCCAGGGCCCAGGGAGGGGCTGGGCTGGGCTGGGCTGGGGCGTCCAGTGCCTGAGCCGGGAGGGGACACGCACGCCTTGGTCCAGCTCCGGCTCCGGTGCTGGTCCCAGCCGAGCTTCTGTGCTGGGCCCCTGCCCCTGACCAGGTGGTTTTCCTCCCCCAGCAGCCCCAGAGCCCGGCCCCCGGGCTGCAGCCAAAGCAAATCCCTCGACCTCAGCTAATCTCTGGCAGCAGCGGCTGGAGACAGCAAAGCCCCCGCAGCCGCCTCTGACCGCTTTTGCCGCCCAGACGTGCTCCCAGCACAGACAGCCGGGCTCCCTGGGACCCGCTAGGGCCTGGGCCAGAGCGGGAGCCACTTCCCCCTGTGCACGGGGACCATCCCGGGATGTCCCATGGGGGGAAGCAGGGCCAGGGACCCGCTGGGGCTGGGGGCCACCGCGACACGGAGCCTCAGCCAGGGAACGGGTGCATGGATGGGCTGTGCCCACGGGCATCTTGGGGCTGTTCCCTGGGGGCTCCATGCTGGGTGGAGGTCTTCCAGGAGGCGGGTTGCTGTCACGCTGCGACCCACCCCCATGCCCTTGAGCTCAAGGTGATCCCCGTCTCCAGGGCTGGCCTGGCGTGACCTGGCTGGGCAGGGGCAGTCCCAGTGCAGGGTGATGGGGAGGCTCTGGGGACACTCTCCCCTTGGGATCCTGGGTAGCAGCTTGGAGCCCTGGGGAGGGCCCTGCCCCGGCCGGCGATGCCTGACGCCCCGTCCCCTGCCCCCTGGCAGTGATCTACATCTGCGGCCCGCTGGAGATGCTGCACCGGGTGATGACTCTGGCGCAGCGCGAGAACCTGACCAATGGCGATTACGTCTTCTTCTACGTGGACGTTTTCGGGGAGAGCCTGCGGGCTGACGCCACCCGCGGCGCCTTCATGCCCTGGCAGAACAACGAGAGCCAGGAGCCGGGGCTGCGCCAGGCCTTCCAGGTACCGCCCGCGCTGTTCTTGCAAGGATGGGGCAGGACTGATGCGTGGGGACGTGGCTGGGCAGCAGCTCTGCAGAAAAGGACCTGGGGGGATGGGACAGAAGCTGGACAGGAGCCAGCAGTGTGCCCTTGGTGCCAGGAAGGCGACCGGCATCCTGGGCTGCATCGGTATGAGCGGTGCCACCAGATCGAGGGCAGTGATTCTTCCCCTCTATTCAGCACTGGGGAGGTCACATCTGGAGTCCTGTGTCCAGCTGTGGCCCCCACTGCAGAAAGGATGTGGACACGTTGGAGAGAGTCCAGGGGAGGGCAATGGAAATGGTTGTGGGGCTGGAGGCATGACTGGTGAGGAGAGGCCAAGGGAACTGGGCTGATTGAGTCTGCAGAAGAGAAGACCGAGGGGGATTGAATAGCAGCCTTCACCTCCCTGCCGAGGCTGCAAAGAGGATGGAGCTGGACTCTTCTCAGTGGGGGCACACGACAGGACAAGGAGCAATGGGCTCAAGCTGCAGCAAAGGGAGTTTAGTTTGGATATTAGGAAAAAATTTCTCATGAGGAAGGTAGTGAAGCACTGGAACAGGCTCCCCAGAAAAGTGGTGGACTCTCCATCCTTGGAGGTTTTGAAGACCCAACTCAACAAAGCCTTGGCCGGGATGATGTAGTTGGGGCCGGTCCTGCTTGGAGCAGGGGGCTGGACTAGATGTGACCGTCTGAGCTCCCTTCCAGCCCTTCTTGTCTCTGACTATGGTCCTGCACGCCCTCGCATCCTCCCCATATGCCTCCAGAAGCGGGAGGTGGGATCAGGGGCCGAGGGGGATCTGGGGACCGGGTTTCAGGCACCTGTGCTGCGCCTGAGGCCCGTGCTCCGTGTTGCAGACGGTGCTGGTGATCACGTACCACGAGCCGCAGACGCCCGAGTACCAGCACTTCCAGACCCAGCTGATCCAGCGGGCCAAGGAGGACTTTGGCGTGGAGCTCAACTACTCACTGGTGAGGGGGGCCGGGCCACGCCGTGCCCCGACCCGTCTGTCCGTGCTGGGCTGTAGGGGTCTGGATGGGGCAGAGGCTGCCGTGGTGCCAAACAGCCCTTCCCGCCCGGGACTCAGCACAGAGGACGCCCACTGCCACCCGTGGGGCTGGGTGGGGGCATTGGGGGGGGGCCCCAGGGTCTCCCCGTGGCTGGGCAGCTCCCGCAGGTGCACTGACTGGCGTCGGGGGTCCGGGGCTCTGGGGGCATCCACGCCACCCCGCTCTGCCCCAGTGCTGCCTTGCGTGTGTCCTGGCACCACGGCTGCCTCTGCCCAGCTGTGCCCAGCCCCCATGACTGGGGCCTGTGCCTGGAGCCGGCGCCTCCTCCCTGCCCTGCTCCGAGTCCCGGCCGGCCGGCCGGAGCACATGACTGCGCTGGGTGCGATTGAATTTCATCCCCTTGCTCTTGCTCTGTCCTCAAGGTCACTGCTCTCCCCTCCCGCGCAGGGGACCGAGAGTGGGGAAGGGACTTGCCCAGGTGTGCGGCGGGGCCAGCAGGACAGCCCAGGAGTCCTGGCTCCTTTCCCTGCTGCTCGGCGCCCCCGGCCCCGTGGGCAGTCAGGACCACGTGGTGCTGGCTTGTGGCGGGACCCCCCCTGCCCGCTCCTGCCCTCGCCCTCGCAGTCCTCTTCTGCTGCCTCCTGGGGAGCACGGCCGTGACCGTGCAGGGACCGGGTGGGCGCCCAGGGCCTGCCAGGGGTCCTGCCGGGGCCCACAGAGTCCACAGGGCAGCGTCCAGGGGCTTGGGGCCAGGTTAAGGTCATGACACGGCAGGTGGAGCCACGTCTGGGCATGTTGGAGCCGTGTCCAAGCATGGTGGGGCTGTGCCGGGGCCGTGTCCAGGCGTGTGAAGCTTGGTCCAGGCAGGGGGGCTGTGGCTAGGTGCCTGGGGCCATGTCACAGCCATGTCCAGGCATGTGGGGCCATGTCTAGGTGTGTGTGACCATGTCAGGGCCATGTTCAGGCATGGGGCGGGGGGGTGTCACAGTCGTGTTCAGATGTGAACAACCATATCCAGGCATGTGGGGCCATGTCCAACCATGTTGGACCGTGTCAGGGCCATGTCCAGGCATGGAGGGGGTCATGTCAGGGCCATGGCCAGGCATGGGGGAGCCACGTGGAGCCGTGTCCAGGTGTCTGGGCCATGTCTGCGTATGGAGGGGCCATCCAGGGCTGTGCCCGGGTGTGTGTGGCCGTGTGGAGCTGGCGGCGCTGACGTGCGCTCCCCGCGTGCAGATGAACCTGGTGGCGGGCTGCTTCCACGACGGGGTGCTGCTGTATGCCATGGCGCTGACCGAGACGCTGAGCGAGGGCAGCTCCAAGAAGGACACCACCCGCATCCTGCAGAAGATGCGCAACCGCAAGTTCCAGGGTAGCAGCCTGGGGCCGGGGCCGGATGGGGCTGGGGGCACGGAGGGGGCTGGCGTCATGCCCCCCGGGGGGGGGCCGGCGCAGGGGCCGCACC